CATTAGCAATTAAACTAAAATCAATGTATAAATTTATATATATATATATATATATACCAAGAGGTTCTAATTTTTCGTCACTTGCGGCTAACTTATTTTTACACTATAATTAAAACAATTGAACTCTAAATATGAAATTTGTTTTTAGATTTATAGATAATTTAATTTTCTATAATTTATGAAATTATCTAATTTTATTCAATAATATTTATTGCGAGGAATAAATGCTGTTTCGTAATCATAAAGATAATATTACTTTTATTTTTTTTTGGATTTACGCATTAAAAAGGAAGAAAACCTCTGCATTGTTGACATTTACTATAAAAGGATTGATTTAAATTTACTAGAAATAAACTTATTGCTAGGAATTTTAATGAATTTAAAAACGTTTATTTAAATACCATTTTTAATTAAATAAATAAATTAAAGGAATTTATAGCAATATTTATTTATCCGAAAAACAACTAGCCATACTTTTCCAAAATTGATTAAAAACAACCGTATTAATCCCAACAAATGAAATTAAATTTTATTAGAAATGTGAAAATCTGATTTGGACAAATCCGTGGCAAACAAATATTAAAATTAGATCTGTACTCGATAATGTAAATAGCTCGAAATTTTATAAAGAACTAACAACTTTCTCCAGTATTCAATCAAATAATTAATATTATTCAATACATATCGAGAATTTCTATAAAAATTATCGAATTAAAATGTTATATTTAAAATTCGACTTTTTATTCATAATAAATTATCCAGTATAATAATATTATTATCTTGCTGAAATCCAGTTTTCGAGTCAATATAAGGTAATGGACAAATCAAAGGTAGTTTTTAACTTCAGTATGAACTCGCTCGCATTATAAATATGTATCACTATCGTCTGTTTACGCTTTAACTACAACAACTTAGTTACAAAAATAATTTTAAATCATTATTGCAAATTATTTGTAAATGCATGGCATCTTTTTCCTTTATGTTCCTATTTGTGTTTTATTTTTTATTTTTTCGTGAATTTTAGTGATATTTTTACTTGCTAAAATTACTCTTACGAATCTCTCTCTTTTTAAATGAAATATTTTGATTTGGCTATATTATTACATTCAATAATATTAATAAAACAAACATATTCAAACGGAATTCAATAATATTAATATAATATTAGAATGCACAGTTTTTGCGGATAATAATCGTGTTTACTGATCACTACATTATATTTCTTCGCTGCTAATTTTTCTACTTTTTAAACGTTTTTCTTAGTTTTCAAAAAATTTTAATATATTTTAATAATTTTTAATATTTTTCTTATTCAAAATATTTTTTTTACTGTAATATATCTTATTTTTACCTACTTTATTTTTTTACTGTTAAATATTTCTTTATAATCTTTGTCTGATTACGCTGAGGTGGTAGGCAAATTTGAATTCATCTCCGTAAATGTTGCTACCATCCATAAAATAAGCCAAAAAAGTGTCGATGATTTTTGACTTAAACGTCTATCCCATGTAGCAGCCAGAGATGGTAGGTGGACAAAGTGGTCAGAGTGGAAGGCATGCAGTGTGTCTTGTGGTCAGGGTCAGAGAAGTCGTTACAGGGAATGCCGGCCCACCCCAAGCCTCGGAGGAAAGTGGTGTCAAGGCAACTATCGAGAATCGAAACAGTGTAACACGGGAGTTCCATGTTCAGGTATGTATAGATACATCGGGATTTTATTCACTTTGCACTGATTGGAGAAATGTAAGCATCTCTTCGTTTGTTTTATTAAAAAAACTGATTTCATTTAAAGAACTAAATAAAACCCTTTAGAACAGGGGTTTCCAACTTACATGAGGCCGGAAGGCCGGGGGCAGCAATTAAAAATACCAGTCAAATGGCAGTCCGCAAATTTATCAAAATCTTATGTAGGACTCCTGTATGTTTGAAGGAACATTAAATATTACAGTCATATTTTTATCAAGTTCTACAAAGCAAAAGTATTGAATTACAAATCGAAATGCAAAGTAGATTTTTACCTAAAAATTTTTTTTTTTTTTTTTTTTGCACGGTTGGTATGTTAACTTTCGCAGAAACTAAGAAATTAGGCTTTTTTGAACGAAAGAAAAGTATTTTAAACCCATAAAGAGTTTTTACGAAAATTGTCCGCAAAAAATGACTACTAATATATTTTAGTTCACGAGCCACGAAAAAGGCTTCGCGGTGCCGGGCGTGGCCCGCGGGCCGCCAGTTGATAACCACTGCTTTTAGAACAGGGGTGGCGAACCTTTATACGCCAACGTGCCGTTTTTTCTAAAAAATTGTTTAATGATTTCATAGACATGCCGTCAAATAATTTTGACTTCGTGATTATTGGGAAAATAATACTAAATAATATCAACTCAAAACTCTTTATTTACATTGAAAAAAAAAATACATTTTGCAATGTCTCAGTTATAGGCGTAATTCAACTTAAAGTAACATCAGTGTGACTTCTGTTGCTGCAGATTAGATGACAATTTATATTAGGTTGTAAGATGTTAGTTTAAGAAAGACTGTTAATTTTTTTTTTTGCTAGTTACTTATTGTTACCTTGTTTTTTATGGTTATTAATTGTTTTTATTAGCATTAATGGTTAATTTTTTTAATAGTTGTTTATTATTTTGTTTGCTTTTGTGAATTTCAATTTTATTGTTACATATGCTTCATAATGTAATAACAATTCATAGTGCAATAACAATTGCGATCGGTGGGGTGCCCAAAATATTGTGTCACGTGCGATAAATGGCACGCGTGCCATTGGTTCGCCATCCCTGGTGTAGAAGATGCCCAGAGTGGAATTTTCTTTTGATTGTCATTCAAATGTTTGCACTAAAAACCTTTTTTCAATAAAGCAAAAATAATGCAGTTTCAAACCTTTCTTCCCAAAAAGATTAAAAATTATATTTTAAAGCTTTCACCTTAAGATTAGTTTTATTCATGGATTTTTTCCAGGCTTGAAAACCCTAAGACAACCTCGTTTTAAGGTTGTTAGGTAGAAGGTTGTTTTCCAAGATATTGTATTAAGGTAATGTGTGTAGAATAGAGCAGATTGACACAGATCTCATTTGAAGGTTTACACGTAAACTGCATTTAAAAAAAAATTTAAGTTTGCATTAAAAGGTTTCTTCTGAATGAAAATAAACCTTATTTTGCCACCTGGATGCGTTTCAAATATCTTTCACAGTCAACAAAATCGAAATTTCACGGCATGATCGAGTGAAAGGTTTCTCCGACTCCAGTAAGAACAATTTAAGGAACAATTCTATTAACCTAGGAATTGGAGCTTTAATGTGTTTACATTTTAATAAGGGTCACTTTGTTGAAGAAACAATTCTGTTTTTTCCTGTTCTTTTTGAAGAATAGCCTTTATATGCTACCCTTTAATCAAAGGAAAGCTATTTAAGCTAAAATTTTGTTTGTTCCTGTCCTTTTGAATCGAAGTCTCACTGTGTTTACCTTTTAATAAGGGTCACTCTATTTAAAGAACAATTCTGTTGATCCCTTTGAGTCGAAGTTCTAATGTGTTGAATAAAGGTCACTCAATTTAAGAGACAACTCTGGTTTTTCCGGCCCCTTTGAAAGAGTTTTTAACTATTTACCTTTTAATAAAGGCCACCGTATTTCAGGGGGCAGAAAATTTCTTAAAACTCAAAATGAAAGTGAAAAACTCATTGTGTATTTTATTAATACGTAGCACCACCAGTGCCCCATAGTAGTTAAATTTGGAATAATAATACAGTAAACGCCACATTTTTTTAAAAATCTCAAATCATGATTTTTTTGATGATTCATGAATCATGATGAATCATGATTTTTAATATTTCCATTCAATATGGGTCAGTTATTTATCGGACACCCTGTATTGTCTTAAAGAGTTTACAATATACGCGCTTTTTAAATTTAAATTTCAAAATTTGGAAGACTCCCCAAGCATACTTTATCCTGCAACCTAAAAAATAGCTAACCGTGATATTTCACACAAATATTATATCCAAATGAGCACTCAAAACATGACAAATCTTTATTTATGTTGCGATATTATTTTTCTGAAATTTACTTTAGGCTCACAACCAGTTAGAATTTATAAATTACACGAAACTCTTATGAATGGTAAAATGACGCGCAAATTTAAACATAAATCACATTAATAAAACTTCCTAGAATATTAAGCCTGTTCTCATATTGCCTCGTAAGCATAACATAAGCGGAGGGATACATCGGAAGTTTCTTCCGGTTCTAGGAAACTTGAAAGAAGTCAAACATTCTAAACCCATGCATTCTCATCCAGTGCATTAAGTTAATTTTTCTCAGCTACCCTAAAAGTGTAATGTCACAAATTTCTCTTAAAGAGCCAATCTCACTACATGCGAATAACACACCTCCGTTAGCCGTCGAGGAAGAAGGAGAACATGATGAGTGACATACACTTACCAGCGAAAAATGCACCAATCAGGTTCTCCTTTTCTACGATTGCAAGTACTTTAATTGTACGCAGTATCAATGTTGCTTAAGCTCTTCAGTTGATAATGATTGAAACCTATTATGTTTTAATTGATAATAACTATAAGCCTATTGTGTTTTAGTGCATGGAGAATGGGGTCAGTGGACACCCTGGACTGTGTGTTCTGTAAGTTGTGGAGAAGGAAACAGGCACCGGTACAGGGTCTGTGACAGTCCTCACCCCGCATCAGAAGGCAATGTTTGCCAAGGAAGTGCTCAAGAGTCTCAGGCATGTTTTGCTCTCAAAGACTGTCCACGTAAGTATGCAAAGCATTCACTTTTTGGGGGCTGATAGAGGGAAAACTATGGCCACTTTTTATAATATGTGACCCATTTTTCAAAAATTGAACATTTTAAATGATTAAAAAAAACTGTTGATAGTAGTAATGTAAAGCATTGTTTGGGAGGGAGGGTAGCCTAGTTGGCAGGGTATTGTACTCTCGTTCGTGAGAATGGGAGTTCGAATCTAACCGGCGGAAGACTATCCGCGTAGTAAATGGTGATTAGTGCACATTAAAAAATTGGTCGGGTCACAAAGTCCTGCATGTTCCCATAACCTCTGGATATACTGAATTTGAGATTGATAAGTCTCCGGTTCAGGTAAAAATTACGATCTGTGGATGATTGTTGTTGTAGTTTATTTACGTCGCACTAGAGCTGCACAATGGGCTATTGGCGACGGTCTGGGAAACATTCCTGAGGATGATCAGAAGACATGCCATCACAATTTTGATCCTCTGCAGAGGGGATGGCACCCCCGCTTCGGTAGCCCAACGACCTGCACGCGAAGTCGAGCACTTTACGGTAGCACAGTTTAACGAGGACCAATACCGCGCATTCTCGGTCCCTACGCAGACTGATCCAAGTGGGTCACCCACCCGCACGCTGACCGCGGCCAGTGATGCTTGACTTCGGTGATCTTCTGGGAACCGTGTCTTAACGATCAGTCCACTGCGGGACGATCTGTGGATGAATGAATGGATGTGTGAATGGGTACTCCCTATAAAACGTGTGTAATGCATGGGTGTGGCAGAAGTCGATATTTTGACTATAGATGGAGCAAGTCGAAAGCAAGGACAATCACACCCCTCTGCCTTAATGACCGACGACCACAACAAGGCGTTTTTTAAGCATATCTGAAATAACGGTAAATATTACAAGGTTCATAAAAAGAATGAAGAAAAGTTTAAGAAACAAGAGTGAAATAATTTTCAGAATAATATAAAATACTCATAATAATGACATATCAGCTGGCGTCTGGCTGATTATTTTCTAATTGTCATTTGTTGTATGAAGCTGCCCTGTGGACGATATAAAAAATACGGCAACAACGGTATAAAAAATTATTGTATGGGTATCCCTGTTTCCACGAGTATGATGGATCGCAGTTACTTAAACGATTCTCTATATACGTAATCGAAATGAGTACGCATAGTTTTTCAGAACAAGTAAGGAGGAGGAAGAAAAAAATTGGATCATTTTTAGCCAACAGCCTAAAAGCAGATTTTGTTTAAGAAATAGTAAGTCTCTGTGTCTGGTGGTTGAAAAAGAGCATTGCATTATGAAATTTTAAAAATTATCTTCTCAATTAGATCAATTAAAAATAGCAATTGAACTAAAGAGTGAAACAAGAGGGGTTTCGTATTGCATTGAGGGGCAAGGAGCAGCTTAACGTGTCTCTAATGACGCGAAAAACAATGTTTCTGTTCGGTTTTTGCCATAGTAGTGAAACTCGTTTGCATACAGGTAGTCCAACGGTACCTTCCACCTTCCAAGGTTGGCCAGCGGTGCGGATTGACACTCTTTTTCAGGTCAGCTTACTAACCCTCCCTCAATGATAGCCTAACCGTATCCCTAACTGTTGGAAAAATCAACCCACTCTGGTGCAACTGAGTTGTAAATTTTGCCAATGGAGTCAGTAACGCCATTTGTTTGATATTTTTTCCATGTCTGGCTGGAATGATGAATGGAGGAAAAAGTCCCCCTTTCATTTTAAGTTTGAAAATTATTTTAAACTTAAAGACTTAGACTTTAAGATTTTTTTTAGACTTAGACTGAGGTTGTGTTCTGAGTCCCTGCCAGCGGAGCCTCCTTCATCTCATATAGGGCCCTTAGACAACTAATATACTGGCATTAAAAGTGGTCATCGCAAGAAAAATAACGGAAGCTATAGCAGAATTTAGTTTGTACTACTGTCTCTAGCATCTATCTGAGATTAGCAATTGAGAAAATATGGCGGGATATTCCCGAACAGGATCACGAAATGGTCATTTCCCGCTCGAGGGAGTTTTCTAATCAGAAAATTTTTATGTTGAAATATAAAGTATTGGATTCGTATTTGGCGAAATATATCTGATATTAAAAAGTTAAGTAACAAGCTATGGGTGGAATACTCAGTGATGACATGAAGGTCATTTCACATCTCTGGGAGTATCCACGATGATGAAGATTATTTATACTTGGAAAGTATTCTGTCGGGAGAGAAGGAATGAGATGGTCTCTTATATCAATGAGTAGAAGGATTTCATTGAATCTTGCAGAGTCAGTATCTTTTGCTTTACTAAAGAATGGGGAATTTAATTTATTTATATATTCAATGATAGTCTCAATTTTTAGATCCTTCCTAATGGCATTATTAGGTAGGTAATATGGTGCACCTGTGATGCGTCTGAGGAGTTTGTTTCGCGTTGTTTCGAGCGAGCTTTTTGATTTGTTTTATGCATCCCCAGGCTGGGCAGGCATAAGTCAAGCTTGGTCTAATGCACTTCCGATATACAGGGTGTCCCAAAAGGTCGTTTACAAACTTAACATGCTGGTCTGTCATATCATGATGAACAAGATTTACATAGGAACTTGTGTCCGAAAATTAAAACTGAGACCGCTAGAGGGCGATAAGTGCACGTTTGGATGAGGAGAAAAAAAATGATATCGATAGCGGTGTTAATATCATTTTTATTATAAAACATCATTACATCACAGCAAATGCTCAAAATTCCTTCCATTCGCCACAATGCACGTTTCACAGCGTCGGCGCATGAATTCACGAACCCGTTCAAATTGGCCAGGAGTGCCATGGACACTTGCTGCCGCTTCCGCGATCCTTGCGATAAGATCCATGTCCGATGTTACAGGTGTATCGTACACTATGGACTTCATGTGTCCCCACATGTAGAAATCCAGGGGAGTCAGGTCGGGGAATCGCGGTGGCCATGGGACTGGTCCGCCTCTACCGATCCAGCGATAAGGATAAATCCTATCGAGGTATTCTCGAACAACGTAGCTAAAGTGGGCAGGCGCTTCATCATGCTGAAACCAGATGTTTCGGCGTGTAGCGGCTAGAACGTCACCCATCAGATCCGGCAAAACTCTTTCTAAAAAAATGCGATAGGTATTTCCGTCGAGGAGTTCAGGTAGAAGGTAAGGGCCAATCAACATGTCACCGATAATACCAGCCCAAACGTTTACGCTGAAACGTTATTCATGTGCACGTGTACATCTTGGGATTTCATGCGCCCATACGTGCATGTTGTGCAGGTTCACGACACCATCCCGTGTAAAGCAGGATTCATCAGAAAACAAAATCCATGATAGAAAATCTCGCTGTGCAACCCGCTGTTGCAAATACCAGCGTGAGAATGCACTGCGTTTGGGATAATCGTCAGCGCACAATGCGTGTACTTTTTGGAAGTGGTAAGGGTGTTGCATGTCATCGTGCAGTATGCGCATTATGGTGGAACGAGCTACACCCAAGACACGTTCGCCTTCTCGGCGACTTCTCTGCGGGTTGATGGCATACTCCTGTAGCAAGGTTTCCTGTACGACGGGTGTGCGTGTAGCACGTTCTCGACCGATGTGGCTACGTGCTACGAAAGCACCTGATTCACATAATCTGCTGTGCAATCGTTCAAACTAAACATGACTTGGCTGACGTCTGTTTGGAAAGCGCTCAAGGTACGTCCGTGCCGCGGCTCTTCCATTTCCATCAGTTGCGCCGTATACGTAATGCATGTCGGCTATTTCTGCGTTACTAAACTCATTCAATCTTCTCCTTCAACCTCCACGCCTGAAATGATTGTTTTTCCCACTCTCCCGTTTTCGTGCATTTATCGCCCTCTAGCGGTCGCAGTTTTAATTTTCGGACACAAGTTCCTATGTAAATCTTGTTCGTCATGATATGACAGACCAGCATGTAAAGTTTGTAAACGATCTTTTGAGACACCCTGTAGAGTTCTCTTGAGGTTCAAGGGTAATGAAGAATTTAGCATCGGCCCTAGACAGCTCCTTATTTATAACTTTTTTTACTTGCAGATTAGCCTGTCGTTGATAGTTTGCCCCCAGATAGTCGGCTTGGTTGACTAGTGGAATTATTTGATTAAAAAGCATCACCTTATCTTTGATTCTTTTGTGCCTCTTTTTACGACGAATTAGCATTAGTTTGGATGTATCGGCATTAATTGCGATTTTATCATCAGCACATCAGGATTCGATCACTGGCATTAAGATTTCTTACAGCTAGATTGGAATTCAGGGATCTGGTGGCTATAGCAGCGACATCTGCATAATAAGATAATTTCTGATTTTCACAGGTCGGGAAAACACTGGTTAAAATTAGGATGGGTCCCAAACTGCTTCCTTGCAGGACTACAGCGTGGATTTCGTCGGAAAGGTGTCAAGTAAGAAACTTGATGATATTAAAAGGAAGTTTTAAGGCAATTAATTTAGTTATGAGGTCTCTAAACCAGACGCGGTCAAATGCCATGTTTATCATTAGCAGTGGTTTCTTTTTTGAAGATTCCATCGCTAATAAAGTCGGATGAGTTGATTCGTGGTGGAAAGTTTCTTGCGGCACCCATACTTCTCATTTGAAATAAAGGTGAGTAGGGATTCTAGCCTGGTAAGAATGATCCATTCTAACATTTTTCTTAAAGTTGGGAGGAGGTTTATGGGTCGAAAGTTTTCTGGATGTCTTTGCCAGGCTTTGGAAATAGGATAGCGTTTTTCCAAATATTGGGATAGTAGTTAAGATTAAGGCATGTATTAAATATTGCTACAATGTCTTTGATCTTATTTACAGTGCTTAATCATTCTACTGTTAATATTGTCCAAGTAAGGTGATTTTCTATTATTTGGCTTTTTGATAATGCTGGTGATCTCATCGTGATTCATTTGATTAATGGAATTTTGGCTGCTATTGCTATTGACCTAATTATTATAAGTTTATTTGGCACGTCCTCTTGCTGCTTGTTGGATGATGGGAAGGTATTTAAGAACTGTTTTCCTATAGTTTCGGCAAAAAAGATTATCTTCTCATCGTCGCTGTAGACGTTTTTATTGTTGTGAATAATATGTTTATTTATGGCTTTGGTGGATTTTAGATTTTGTCATTTTTCATATTGACTGGTCGTTTATATTTAAGTTGGAGAATTTATAACACCAGCTGACATTTTTATATTTTTCACACATGCTTTTTATTTCTTTGGTCAGCTCGTTGAGTTTTTTTTTATCTCCTGGATTTCTATATTTTTGTAATTGTTTCCTAACGTTATTCTTGCAGCTGATTCGTCCCTTAATATCTCTAGGATGCTTCTGGAAAGGGAATGCCAAATAAGTGATTTTTATCTAAACATGAACCGCACAGTTGGAGTAGTGGGTAGTGTCTTCGCTTTCCTGGTGTTCGATTCCAAATGATAAAAGCTTAGTGAGTAATCGAATACCTCTTCAACACATCGTCTTTTAGAGGATTGTAATCCACTCTCATGCAACGCCAACGGCAGTAGAGTCTCAAAAGTCTATGGATGAGTCGGTGGTTGCGAAGCATGATGCGATGATCAAGTGACTACAACTCCAACATCTGATTTGCAACATGCCTTTTGGCTTTAGTGTAGCACTGCATACTTTCGTTCTTGCATCACTTTTGCAATTGAAACTCAGGCAGCCTCTAATATACCATAAAGGTTGCTTCAGGGCTATGTTGACAATAGTGAGATTAGGAACCTAAACGAACCATCCCGCTTTTTTCTGTACATATATTTTGTGTGTGTTGTGTATATTGCATGTTCTATATACTCCATCTTTAACACTAGAGATATTTCGAACTTGCACGCAGCATCCTTCACTTTCCCGTACACATATTCTGCGCATGTTATGTATATTCCATGAAGGTAACTCCATTCCTACGTTAACAATAAAGAGATTTAGCACTTGCACGCAGCATGCCGCTCATTCACTTACTTACATTTTGAGCAAGTTCTGTATTGAACTGAAATTTATATAGTAACTGCTCTTCGCAGAAGATATGTACATGATTCTAAGTGAAAGAGCTAAACATGTTTAATCAAATTAAATTTCTGTACTACCGTTTTCAGATCTTTAAAATGAGTTTTCATTCCTATCCGATTCCTTAAGATGTCCCAACAATTTTAATCAAACTACGGGCATTTATTTTAGGTGATGGGAAATGGTCATCTTGGAGTCAGTGGTCATCCTGTTCAGTGACTTGTGGTCAAGGAGGTTCCATCCATCGCTACAGATCTTGCAACAACCCCCCACCGTCTGGAAATGGAAGACCTTGCGACGGGCTCGCGCATAGTGTCCAGTCTTGCCAAGCTAAAATAAAGTGTCCAGGTAAGAAAAAAAATCTGACATTCCTTGTTTTTTTTTTAGTTTTTATTTTATAACCGTCGTTGAACAGCCGACCCAATTTTTTTGAGTTCACTACTACTAATGTTCACCTCCGTAGTCTTGTGATTTGGTACCCATTCTAGAACTCCTGAATCTAGTATTGAGAGAAAATTGCTTTCGTGGCGGACTTTTTGATGGAACTGAACCGCATTTCCGTTACGTGGAGATGAAAACCACGAGAACTTCCCACGGTTAGCCTGACGGCAAGGAACGTTATGATCCGTCTACCACTGAAGATATTTCACGTCAGCACTGTGGTTAATAAAAGCCGATTGCAGGAATTCATAGCGACCAGCCATCGCCGGGATTCGAACCCGGTTCACCTCATTGGAAGGCGAACGCAATATCCCTTGAACCCTCGCGTCTCGTAAATTTTTTCCCAATAGAAAACTATTTCACTGTAGTTTTTTTCAGCCTTATATTATTTGAACCCAATTCTAATTGGTTATGCGGCGCATATACCGAAAATTGCTGTAATACAAAATACTGATTTGTTTAGAAAATTTGTTCATTTTGACGTAATTTTGAGGATTGAGTTAAATAGTATATATTTTTCTCTCCAGTGGAAGAAAGTCATTCGCCAAAACACAATTTTTTTCCACCAAATTTACGATTTTATCGCATTTGACTTCGCTGGCTCTGTTAATTCTTTAAATTACGTCAAAGATCAAGTTCATGACGAATGGGTAAATGGCCGAATAGCCCTTTCGAATGAAATTAGCCTATTTATAACAACGTATATATTAGCCTACTTATATTATGTTTTAATCTACAAAATCAGACACAAAAACAAACTTTCTCTGAATAAGCGTGCCTTTTTTCGACGAATTGGGGTTTCTGACCCCCAAAATGTTGGGGATTAGCCACAGTCTGGGAAATAGTGTTCCTATAGTTTCGTCAGGAGAGCGGTCCTAAGTTTGGACCCTTTAATTTTAATTTCACTTCTCCATATCTCGAGATTTTTTTTAAACGAACTGAAAAATCTTTGTGCAAAATTATAATATCTGTTTATCCAAAGATAATTCCATGTAAAAATAGCTTTTAGTGAATATTTATTATTTTATATTATTTTATTTCATAATAATCGAGAAACTTTTGAATAGTAAGGTATACAATTTTTGACATCATTTTAAAAAATTTCAATCTTAAATGGCAAAATACAAAATTTGATCGAGATCTTTCAAACAATTCCTGAGGATCAAGAAGTAAAATTAACAAAATTCGATTTTTCAATTCAAAAATTTGATTTCTCAGGAACTATTTGACCGATTTCGCACAAATTTTGCAATTTGCCATTTGAGATTGAAGTTCTCTAAAAATGTAAAGAATCATGTTCCTTACAATTCAAGATATTTTCGTTTATTATTAAATAAAATAATAAAAAAAAATTTAATATTTTATATTTTTCAAGGAATTATTTTTTAATAAATAAATTTTAGAATTGTGTAAAAATTTTTTTCAAATTCCCTTGAAAATTTCTCTTTATCTAGTGAAATACTCAAAAAGTAAAATTAACAATAATTGGCGCAAATTTAAAACCGCTTTCCTTACCTAAATATCGGGACCCTATTTCCCACATTAAAGATACCCACTTATATTGCAGGGGTCAGAAATTCGAATCCGACAAGGAAAATGTATGTTTATTTAGAGAAAGTACGTTTTTGTGTCTGATTTCGTAACTGAAAATATCTTTTCAATTAATTATTAGCCTATAGTCACTCCTTCGAACCATTAAGATTGAATGCTAGAACATATGGTCCTGATCCTTAGATGAGAAATTATTAAAAGTTGTCAGCTTTTTTTTCTCTCTTTATACATAATTCTTGTAATTATTTTATAGCTTATTCTTATATTTTGTTATTCCATATTTAAGTTGTTAATTATTTTCAACTTAATATGTCTTAACTTCATGATTTCCTTAAACTAATGACTTATCAAATTTTGGTGTCCTCTCATTCCCTACTTATATCTTCATACCAATGAAGTTGTCGTTGCTACTTATGCTACGTTTTTTTTAACAACCGTTGTTGAACAGTCGACCCAATTCTGGGTTTGAGACTACCAGTGTTCAACTCCGTATCCTTGTGATTTTGATTCCAATCCAGAAGACAAGTGAGCTCCAGGATCAGTACCTCCAGAGGTATTGATTTGTTATGGGAACTTGGAGAACTTTGTGACCCCGACGGATTTAGCGTGTATCAGTCACCATATACTACACGGGGAGTCTTCGGTCGACAGGGATCGAACCCACGACCTCTTGGAAATGGGGCCAGTGCCCTACCAACTACCAACCAGGCTATCCAATACCTCCTAGATGGAAGAAAGCCGAAGGACGGAAAACGATGACTCATACAGTTAGGCCAGATTTAGCTGACGAAGCTTCTCTTTTTCCCTTCTGTTTCTCGACACTTTTTCGTTACTCTTCTACTAATTTTTTACTTTCTACAAATTATTATTATTATTTTTTTTGTCTAGATTAAATGTTCTTAAATTGTGTAAAAATGCTTAATATATTTATTTGTTTTCAGAAATGATTAACAATAAATCAATTCTAACAAAAATAACTGTTGTGTGAATGAAAAAAAATATATTTTTAAGCATTAAATATCAGTTTTATTTTATAAATTGGAAAATTTTATCTAACTTTTTGTTATAAAATGTATGGATTAAAAACAAAGAAATATATTTTTAAAGGGATTTTACACATTTATTATTATTATAGTTTTGACANGAATATCGCCAATGGCTCGTTTGATCAGATTCGGAGTTTTTCGTAAAAATAGCTACCCTGACTGGTTTCCCTCTGGGCCTAACTCTACTACGTCATCATCGCCTATAGTAACCCGTTGTGAGGCTTGATTCCTTTCTAGGAGGTATTGGGCTATCCCGGCCTCTACTTCGGCCACTTGCCCACATCAGCAAGACTGCTTGAAATCAAGCGAATTTTTAAGTCAGAGGATGCGTTTCTTGTTTCATCAGTGGAGCCATCTTTGGTCAAAAATATGACAGCCACACACATGTACAGCCCATTTTACAGGGAGAACCAGAGCACGATCAATCTCCAATTCAGTAACCCCACAGGTATTTATTTGTAATGGGAACTTGGAGGACTTTGCTACCCCGACCAATTTAAGGTGCTCCAGTCATCATTTAATTCACGGAGATTCTTCGGCTGGGAGGATTTGAACTCCAGTTCTAATGAAGCCCAACGTCCTACTAACCAGGCTATCCCGATCTGCCAAAAACATTTTTTAATCAAGTAGTAATAGTAACATTACTTTTTGTGAAAATTTAAGTAACTGATAAATTTAAAATAAAAGAGACTTTTAATTTCAGTGAATGGACAATGGTCTGAGTGGACAGAGTGGACTGAATGTTCTGTGACATGTGGTGCGGGTGAGCAGAGGCGTTGGAGGGGGTGTGATGAGCCTCCTCCCCTATTCGGCGGCAACGACTGCAACAGAACAGAAGCTGGAGAATTGCAGATCCGAAGCTGTAATGGAGATTTACTGCATTGCCCGGGTAATTGATTTCACACACCACTTTATACTTAAAGTGAAAAAAAGTATTAAACACCTGCTATGTAGTTTAGATTAATATTTTTAAAAAGCTTTTTTTAAAAATATTAATCTCATTTAAAAGCGTATTTTTAAAAAGCTTTTTTTATACCTACCTATTCTCTTCGTGGCAGCTGGCACATGAGACCTCTTTTTCCAGGCATTCCTGCCCTGAGCCAGTCCTTTTACCTCTTCCCGTTTTGCACAGATCATGGTGCATGTATCTTTGCCAAGTAAGATTTGGTCTTCCTCTTTTTTTGTTTTTCATCTGGTGCCCTAGTAAGTGCGATGTTAATAGGGCTATCCCGTTTTAGACAAAGGATATGTTCAGTCCATCTTCTCTTCAAAATTTCCTCGTGAATGGGAGATAATTTCGCCTTTGTTAGTTGATCTTTATTTGAGATAGTGTTATGACAGATAATGTTTTATATTATTTTGGAATGTTCCTCGTTTTTCTGTTTCAATTTTGAGGAAGTTTCAACATTCAGCACCATTACAAAAGTGTATATTTACACAGATTTTTATGTTTGAAGCTCTCTAAATTTTTTTAAAGACAGGTTCTAGCTTTTATGTTTCTTTGGTTTATGTCATCGTTGCTTGTTTATTTACTCCCAGGTATGTAAAAGAATCAACTTCTTCAGAATTCATTTTATTATTAGATTTTGTATTTATTCGTATGATTATCGTTTTATACTTATTTATTTATAGACCTATTTGATTCGCTTATTTCTTAGATTTTTTTTCTTCAAGATCGATGGATTTAGATAAAAGGAGGACTATTATAAAACACTAGTGGGCTATTTCGCCTGCTCGCTTGGCTCTCTACTAACTTAGGTACATTGCAAATGCACAAAATTCTAAGAATTCAAAACAATCATTCAAATTCATGTAACAACTTTTTTTTTAAAAACAAATTACATCTTTTCAGTAAATACTACTAAGTCATTAAACTAAATTTGAATTCAAATAAATGACATGTAATTCGTAAAACCAATTATAAATGTGCTATAGTATAAAATCTTAAGATAAAACTTCTAAAACTGATATCTCTTTAAAAAGGTTAAAATTTTGGCTCGTCAAATAAATTCGTAATATATAAATTCATGAAAAAAAAGCTTTCGAAAAAATACTAAAATAGAGATATATCGACAAAGACTACTCACTCCTGCCTAGCTTAATAGTATGAGGCTGCAGTTGATAGTGTGACATTTGGTGAGAATGCTCTGTCTGGTTATTTCAGTTTCCGTTTTTAAAAGCGCTATATGTTGAGCCAGATCAGCTTAATTTGGCATGTGACANTATATATTAATGATACGAGATGTGCATACATTGAACAACTCAACTTTCCATAGAAATGAAAGTGTGATATCATTAGATTGAGGTGGTATCGTTATTATTAGTAGTATCATGGAAATGTTTTGTAGTTGAAATATGCCAAGAGATATACGCCAAATAAATAAATTAATCAGAATTAAAAAAACTTATTTTTTATTTTAAATTTTGAAAAGATAGTCTTGTTTGATTCGATTGAAATGATCAAATAAAAATTTTATTGGATTAGGAGTAACTAATAAAATCATCACAACAATTGCTTCATGATTTTAAATTCAATAACTAAATTAAGAGACTAGTTAAAATGCTTTATTAAAAGAAAGATATATGTGAAATGGGCAATTGTCAGTGCCTTCTCACGATTTGTTTCGCACCAGAATAAATCTTTGATCCACGTTCGTAGGTGTATGTCTCTTAATGTTTGTTCTAACTACTTTTATAACATGCTATCTCTAATGGAAATGACCAGTCGAACAGATACAGAACTTCGTGAATTGTGAGTATCTTCTGGTTACCATTGACTATCCATATTCCATTCTTTTACTACTTATAACACTGATCAACTCTATTTCTTATTGCATTTTTAAAAATACTCTATCTTGTCTAATTCAGGTGTGGGGATCTGAAATTTGTTTTGCTCCTGAATTTACAGTTTTATTTTCAAATGGCATTTCGAGCCTAATTTTTGTCGAAATGTACAAATTTAATAACGTTTTAAATAACAGGGGGTTGCTTAAATATTTCGAAAAACTTATAGAGGGCGCTTCATCAGAATTAAAACTGCATGGGAAATGTCGTCGTGCGTGGGCGCTTCTCACCTGTTCATTAAGCACATGATGAAGCAGTTCATAATAGGGAAGTGTTTCCAGAGATGACATTTCAGAGCATGGGTTCCTCTGAAATCCTGAGGCTGTACCCTAAATCTCTTGGAAGTTTATCGCAATATTTACGTAGCCCATTGTGTAACGCTTTTGAAATTGTACATTTTGACAAAATTTAGAGTTAGAATGTCACATAAAAGAAAAACTGTTGCTTGGAGAAAGTAACCGATTAGAAGATTTGAATTCAGAGATACGAAGCTATCTAAGATGCATTTTTAAAAAAATTTCTTGCAGTAGAAAGAACTCTCCCCCCCCCCTATTAATCAATAGATGAAATAGGGTAATTTATAGTGAAGTCAGCATGGAATTATATTTTCTCAACTTCATGAGTTAACTCAAAAGATTCGTTAAAATAAAATGCTTGATTCAACAAATCGGATTCATGGGTGCTTTGCTTTTATAAACTAGAGATGATGACACTTCAATCAAGGCGAAACTTGATATAGTGTGCCCAGAGAAAGATTAAAAATGTCGGGGGAAAAAATATGATAGGGGATTGAAATGAACGGGTAAGTTTATTGTGAAGTTTATTTACTTACAAAAGTTGCCATAAGATGACGCGTTGAGCAATTGATTACCGGAGTTCTCCATTCTGGTGTATGAGGAGGTGCGTAGAAAGGTGGTTATAGAACCAAATTGGCAGTTATCATGCATTGTGTTTGTATGTGTACACCTTGTGTTTCTGCAACTAGAATATCACAGGTTAGATTACAATCGTACGGCATTTGTATTCAAGATCTCTGTACAGCTTACAGTGTCATCTGTTGGCAACTTTTATAACTAATTTACAAAATTTCTGCATAAAATTTTACGTGATTTGTATCATTTCTCCATTACCTTCTGTTTCCGAGAATTTTAATTTTGAAATCAGTCTTTTTTTGGACTCTCGGTAATTTTAATTTTTTGGTAGCTGAAATACTTCAGAGTTTCAATTATTATAAGCCACCTGAAATACAAATGCACACAGTGCTTTTGCACATTGAGTTTAACTTTTTTTCTCAAATTGTTTTCAGTGGACGGAAAGTGGTCAGAATGGGGAGAGTGGGGAGATTGCAACACTCCGAATTGCGAATCTTCCACTCAACCAGCCTATTCTTTGCGCCAAAGGTCATGTGACTCACCCCGTCCAGCACATAATGGTAGTATGTGTCAGGGGACATTCCTTCAAGCTGGTCTCTGCCTACAACCAATCAATTGCAGAGGTACATTCATTCATAATTACTATTTAAATGGGTCCCTGACGTGGTTCCCAATAGAATACCGATGTCAAGCATCACTGGCTGTGGTCAGTGTGCGGATGGGTGGCCACTTGGATCAGCCCGAAAAAAGGACCGAGGGCGGGTGGTATCTGTCCTCGTTAAACTGTTCTATCTTGAAGTGCTCGACTTTGTGCGCAGATCGTTGGATTATTGAAACAGAAGACCCATCCTATCTGCAGAGGATCAAAATTGCGATGGCATGTCACGTTATCATGGATTCATTATCATGGATTTCTCGTTAGCATGGATTCATTATCAGAAGTGTTTACCAGACCGTCGCCATTAGCCCTTCGTCCAACTCTAGAGGGACGTAAAACAACAACAACCATTTTTAATTGAAGTGTAGTTGAATTAGAAATACTTAATTTACATCCCACTAGGGCTGCACAATAGGCTATTGGCGACTGGTTTAGGAAACATCCTGGAGGATGATCGGAAGACATGATTCGGATCCTCTGCAAAAAGAATGACTTCTGTGCTTTGGTAGTCTAACGAACTGCGCGCGAAGTTGGGAACTTTACTTCAGAACAACTTAATGATGTACAGATACCGCGCATCCTTGATCGCTTCACTAGCTGATCAAAGTGCTCACCCACCCACTCACTGACCGTTTTCAGAGATGGTTGACTTCGATGGTGTACTGGGAGCCGTGTCTCACGAACAGTCAACTGTGGGACTTATTTCTTATTACAATTTCTCAAATTAACCAATAAAAATTGATTCAATTAATAAAGAAAACTGCAACTGTCATGCCACCAAAGACATGACAGTTGCAGTTTTCATTGTTGCCGCATTGCCATTGCAACCATTATGCCGTTGCAATGCTGTGGCCAAATTTTATTTTATTTTATAACCATCGTGGAACAGTCAACCCAATTTTTGGGCTTACGAATACTAATGATCATGTAATTTCGAACCCAATCCTCCAGAAGACAAGGGAACTCCTGGATCAAGTATTGGGGGGAAATTTGCTTTCGTGGAGGACTTTTTGATGGAGCTAACCCGCAATTGCGTTACAGAGAGAGAAAGACTACGCGAACCTCCACAGTTAGTCTGACGGGAGTGGGACTCTAACCCATGATCTGTCTACCACAGAGGATATTTCACGTCAGCACTGTGGTTGGTGCAAGCCGGATATGGAATTCGTGTCGACTGGGATTCGAACCCGGTTAGCCTCATTGGAAGGCGAACGCTCTATCCCCTGAGCCATTGCGGCTCCCGATGACCACATTTTTAATCCGTCGTTGAACAGCCGAACCAATTTTGGGTTTACGACTACAAATGTTCAACTCCGTAACCTTGTAATTTTGAACCAATCTGGAAGACAAGGAAACTCCGGGATCACTACCCCCAGAGGTATTGATTTGTTATGGGAACGTGGCGGACTTTGCGACTCGACAGATTTAACTTGCATCAGTCACCATTTACTGCACGGGGAGTCTTCGGCCGGCGGGGAACGAACCCACGAACTCTTGGACATGGGCCCAGTGCCCATGTCCAAGAGTAACATCAAAATTTGAGTACAAAATGTTGCTTACATTCATACTAGTATTTAAATATCCGAAATATTTTCTTTTTATTAAATTTTGTTTTTTGATAAAAAAAAATTCCCTTTTTTTATTCCAGTTTCTTTTAACTAGTATGGTTTGAAAAATTTTATTTGAAGTCATTGATATGTTCTAAATAATTTGTATCGTGAACGGAAGACCTCATAGTAACTTTCTTTTTTCTTCACATTTTAACCCGAGAAAAAATTAATTATAAACTTCCTGTGCATTATTTATAAAAACTTTGCATTAGTTTAAATGCAAACTGAGCTTATTTTAAACTTCTGCAAAAAAATTCAGAATTCGAAGTTTTATATAAAGTAAAAGAAAAAAAAGTTGTGCAATGATGCTTACACGATGAATCCAAACCATTTAGGCACTTCAAAACTTTTTAGACAATTTAAATTTTTTTTGACAATTTTTTTAAAAATGTAATTGAAAATATATTGTTCATTTTGTGATAAAACACAGTTGAAAAGTGCAGTATTAATGTAGTTTTTTGTGTGTGCAGTGGATGGTGGTTGGAGCGAGTGGAGTGGATGGACGTGTTTGAAAGAGTTGGCAAGAAGGACAAGAGTCTGTAATAACCCTTTACCTTCGAATGGAGGAAGACCTTGTAAAGGATCAAAAATCGAATTTTATTCCAGAGAGGATGAGCATTACAGTGAGTTTGTTTCCTATATAATTTAAATCTCCAATGCTATGTCGGTTACATACACTTATCACTGAGGTTACTTTTATACACTATCTATCCAAAAAGCAACCGGAGACTCAAGTTTTTAAAACTATCTATCTAATCAACAATCAACTAGAAACTATCAACTCAACTATCTATCCAAAAGTATCAATCAATCAGTCTAATGCTACTTTTGATTGGATAGTATATAAAGCTAACCACTGAGTTTCCAGCTATACTTTTGATAGTCTTCAAAACTAACAACAGAATCCCCGGCTACTTTTGGGGAGATAGTGTGTAAAACTATAGCCATCCAGTCATTGGATACTTTTGATAGTGTACAAAACTAACCCCCGAGTCTCCGGCTACTTTTGGTTTAGTGTGTAAAACTAACCACCCAGTCTCAGAATACTTTTAGTCAGTTTTTATACTTTATTTAACCAAAAATAGTCGGAGATTCAGGGGTTAGTTTTGTACATTATCCAGCCAAAAATAGCCGCAGACTCGGTGGTTAGTTTTATACACTATCTAGCCAAAAGTGGCCGGATAACCGATGGTTTGTGTTTAGAAATTATTTCCTATTGCGGATTTATACAGGAATATAAAATTTTATAATAACTCTTACTAGTTTTAACTTTTATATTAAATATTAGTTTTATTACATAAAAAAAAGTCTGTGTTTCTGTCATAGTTTTATTTACTCCTGTCATATCATATATAAATAAATTCTACTATAAACAGAGAAATTTAAAAAAAAAAATCTTCATTAATAAAGCTTTTTGCAATTTATTCTTTATTTCAAAAGATATAATGGTACATGTCATAAATGTAAGCATGTATTTTATTCAATTTTAAGATAAATATACGAACCACAAAAAAAAAAGGGAAAAAACCGGTGAGAAATTAAAAAAAAATTGTTATCTGCTGCAACATGTATTTTTGTCCTCATTGACGAACTACATCCTAGACGAATTAACGGCATTTCATCGAACTTAAAAAAACAAACGATTACAAAGAACTTCATTAATTTAATAAAAAATAATGAAATAAAACGATAAACTCACCAATCTAACTGATAGTCGTTATAGAGTGGTGGAAACCATTTGGACCAAGATGGTGCCATTTTGGAACGCTTTATTGATAAAAAAAAAAAACGCGTCGTCTTTCTCATATGCACTAGGACAGGGATGGCGAACCAATGGCACGCGTGCCATATATGGCACGAGGCACAATATTTTGGGCACGCCACCGATCACAATTGTTATTACACAAATGTTATTACACTATGAAACATATGTAACAATTAAATTAAAATTCACAAAAACAAACAAAATAATAAACAATTATTAATAAAAAATTAACAATTAATACTAAAAAAAAACAAAAAAAACAAGCCAACAATAAACAACTAGCAAAAAAAAAATTAACAGTCCTGCTTAAACTAACATTTTACAACCTAACATAGGTTATTTGTCATCGACTCTGCAACAACAGGAGTCACACTGATGTTACTTTAAGTTGTTTTAAGACATGTCAAAATGTATTTATTTTCAATGTAAATAAAGAGTTTTGAGTTGATAGTGTTAAGTATTATTATTTTCCCATTAATCACGAAGTCAAAATTATTTGACGGCACGTTTATGACCTCATTAAGCAATTTTTTAGAAAAAATGGCACGTTGGTGTAT